GTTGGTTTCAACATAGATACTATATATACCAAGTGGATGCGAAACAGGAAGTAGATTGTACATGAAATTATATTGGTGACGTCACGAGCAGTATGCCTATGCTCTTTTCGCTCTAGCGTAGCCTCTAGTAGAGGCTACGCTAGAGCGAAAAGAGCATAGCTCTAGTGGCCTTGTTTCTCGAAGTTTTGGGTTCTTGGTCAAGTTACTACTTTGCTGAGTTGAAGTAAGTATTATGAAGTCTCTATTAGCTCGAATGACCTGCTGAATCCTTGTTTGCTTGATCACTGGATCTCGTTGTGCTGTAAAACATGGCGGCCCATAGTTCTGACTTTAAACACCTTTTCTCCAATCTGGGGCAGAGTTAGTAAGTGTTATTTGGGTAGAAGAAGGATATTATTGTGTTACATGGTCTGTAACTACTAGCTTTCCACTGCAGTTTTATAAAATAGAAATATATCCATTTTTTAGTTTATTTATGGTCTGTTTTGTAAACGCCTTTTCTGGAAAACTATGCTATTTGAAGAGGTATAATTTTGTATGAGTCTACGTACATGCCTTTTGTACGGTTTGTATATTTTCATAATTATTTTAAAGCTATGTTTCTTCGAAAAAAGTTACTTAATGTCATTGTGATATACCATATTAGAATGATAAAACTATTATTATAATATTATTTTTTTGATGATCAAATAGGGTATGAATATGAAACCAATGAAGCTAAATTGTCTGTTGTTTCTTGTACTGACTCTTTTCAGAAGAAATATAGATTTTTATGAAGTTTTTTATAATTATTGATTTTGCCACCATTTTGGTTGCTAAGCGTATCTAGGAAAAACGTCACATCCGGCGAAAAGAGCATAGGCACATCCTGTTTTGTATCCACTTGGTATATATAGTATCTATGGTTATACACCTCGGTCTCGGTGTATAACCTATACTAATATCTATGATTATAGCATAGATAATAGAGTAAATGAAAGGGATAGGAAACTTCCGTTCGCGGCAGGAAATGCTAGTTACCCATACCATGATAATTTCTCTATTTATAGGAATTTTTTAAATTTTACAATAGGATTTATTAAGAAAATTATCAAACATTATGGAATACTACAACTTCACAATGGTTTTTCTCAAATTGTGTTTATGTCACAAAGTATGTGCGTGCCCTCAAGTGTACATCAAGCTTTGCTTTCATATCACATTTAAATGTGCCAATCATTGAACTGTAAAGAAAAAGGTACAAAACGAAGGTCTTTGCAAAAACTTGGAATTGATTATAAATCAGTCACCAAATCTGTCATCAGAGTCATTTATGTTGCGTGCCCTCCGTAATAATGTATAGAATAGTTGGTAATAGTTAATTCTGGAATTACTTCTTTTGTATTCTAAAAAGGGTACAAAACCACAATATTGAAGGTATCAGGTCACTAAATCAAACTTTACCCATAGTTATCAATATTATTTTACTTAAAAAATTAGACAGACTGTAAGGGAGGTATCTGTAATGCCTTTAATTATCATTGCAGAGGATGAACACAAGTCACTTTAGAGTTATGAGTTGAAATAGGACGCCAAACAGTGAAGGAAAAGGCCCGGGAAGGGTAACTTGCCTATGTTGCTAGGCAACCTAATAATCTTAATGAAATAACCCGCCCACGCAACGGAAGTTTCCTATCCCTTTCATTTACTCTATTATCTATGATTATAGGAATGACCTGGGGGCTACGCCCCCAGGTCGTTAAAAATCAATTTTTATTGGAATCAGCTCAAACTTTCTACGCAACATAAGTACATGCATATGCATCAGAAAATGTAATAAAAATTGAATTTTTTTACTTTTTGATTTTGGTAAAATTTGGCCTAAGACACTGTACTACAGTACAGGGACTGTCATCCAATTTTGGAGCAATTTCAAAATTTGTAAAAAAATTTAATTTTAATCGGTATTAACTCAAACTTTCTATACAACACAAGTA